AGTACCTTCTCCTAATCTGCGCCGCTTAATCTGGATAACCTCCAATTTGACGCTTATCTTGCCGGTTATCTTTTGAATTGGACAAATTTAGCCTTTCTCTTCAGTAATCTTGAATGTGGTTTTTTTCTAGCCAACTCTTTGGGTTACCACATGGCTGTACTTTTACATCTGCTTCTTCTTTCCGCTGTCAAAAGCGCAATTGGAGCGGCTGGAGCAATCTCTGCAAAAGATGTGAACAAGCATTTCCCAGAAATTTTACGGCACTGAAGTCAAAGTTCAAACTATTTCTCTAGGTGATTGATAGGAGCAAACCAGAAAGGGAGACTGTTCTTACCTCCGCTGATTTCCAGAGATTCTCTTCACTGAATGATATCACTAAGATAGGTAAAGATCCTCCCAGCAAATTGAGACTTAGGGTAAGGAAGAGCACTTGTTCAGGAATCAAAGTGAAGGACGATCCAACAATGGGTAACAAAATGGAAGGAGATATTGCTATAGAAGATTTGAAGAAGTTTGTTGAAGATAGTAACAAATTGGGCAGAAACGCAATTCGGCAAGCTTACAGGTAAGATCGACTTATCTTAATTTAGTTAGATTTTCATGCATACCACTTATGTAATTCTATTGACAGCATTTTTGAAAAAGCGAGGGTTTTTAGCCAAAGCAGGGGTAGACACGGTAAGAAACAAGATATCACCTTTAAAACTTAGAATGAAAGAAGGAACAACCGTAAGAGAAAGCTCACCGTCGTAGAGCAACTCCTGCTGCCTAAATTTTGTACCTATGGATCAGTCCAACCATCAGAGACGAGCGTATTCATGAGACTAATCGAATGAAGAGGTTTTCTAGCGTTACTCAACACACAACGCGTTCCTTGGAAATATGCGGATTAAATCCCTTACATGATTGACCTGTAAGGAATGAAAATTCTATGAAAATACGAAGTGGCAGCATATTTTTCCACTTTCTATTTATCCTTGCAAAATCGGAAAACCCAAAGACACTTTTCTAGACGATGGCCAAATGGGGAGATTCCTTACACATTGTCATCGCAGTATGGCTCATACTCGAGATCGGTGATAGCAAAAGCTATGCAGGTTGTTCAATATGATTAAAATTCAGGTTTACTCTAAAAAGTAGCTTAAAAGGTTATGTTATTCACTTAAAATTTGTGACTTTGAGGAATACCACGATAAGACATGCGTACGTTTTGTTCCACGTGATCCTATCAAACATGTTGATTATATTTATATTCATCCTGATGATGGATGTTACAGTTTGGTTGGCAAGTAAGTAACGTCATCTTTTGTCAAAGATGTTGTCATTCTCTCTAAAATTTATATTCAGAACGGGTGGGCGACAACCACTTTCCTTAGACTCTGGATGCATTCAAGTGGGTACCATTGTTCATGAGCTCATGCATGCAGTTGGCTTTTTCCATGAACAAAGCAGGTGAGGATCTTCTAATTTTGAAAATAAGAATGACGGACTGAGGTATGCTTACGTTACAGTTCACACTTTACACCATATGGCAATGTCCCTTTAGAGAATTTACCTAACAAACTGAAATGGATCCCTGATATTGGCCCACTTCTTCAAAGCTAACTAGAAAAGCTCTTAGTTTTCATATAAGGCACCACGCTACTCATCAGATTTAAGGCATCCCGTACGCCACGATCTTCTCCGGACACCTCATCAAACATGTGGCCTTTCTAGAAGAAATACGTTCCAACCCTTCCATTTAAATAAGAATTGATTAATGTAGCTCATTGCTAAAGAACCATGAGCACTTGAAGTTGTCGGGAATGTCCCCACGACAAACTTCTATAGAGATATGAGAAGGAAAGGAGTATACAACTTATTTTGACAGACACTGCATTAAGGCAAGATCGAGATGATTACATCGAAATTGTATGGCGAA